GGCGCGATAAGAGTATGTATATACAGACAGAAGAGGTGCACATATATATATGTGTATATGTAACGAGAGAAAGAGAAGGAATGATAGAGATAGAGAGCGAGCGAGAGAAAGAGAGAGAGAGAGAGATAAAGAGAAAGAGAGAGAGAGAGAGAGAAGAGAAGAGAGAGAGAGAGACATATATATATATATATAGATAGATATAGAAAGAGAGAGATATAGAGAGAGAAGGGAGAAGAGAGAGAGAGAGAGAGATAAAGAGAGCTAGAGAGAGAGAGAGAGAGATACATAACGACACAGAGAGAGGGAACTTTAAATGTACAGTATACGTATACAGCGACCGTAACAAAAACCGACACATGGAGTTCGTACACACTAGAACAGAGAGATGTCATCACATATGCCTATGTATGCACGCATTACAAGCGTATTCCTAGTTTACTCAGTGAGTCGGTGCCGATTTGTTCCTATAACTGTCACAGACGCGCCACGGATCAAATAATCAAGTACTTCTTCCTGCGCGCGGAATGGTGCGCGCGCGAAGCTCCGCAACCGCGGTTCTGCGTTGCTTGCTCGACCTGTCGAAGCCTCGCTCAGTGATTCAACCGTCCCCAACCCCCGCCCGCCCTCCGCCCGCCCCCGCAGAGGGCGCGACGCCCCGTTTGGGGCAATGGCGTTGACACATTGCCAAGATTCGCGCGTGCTCCCCCGCCCCCCTCTCCCCCTGTGCTTCTATTACTTTCTCCGCCACAGTGCCTCTGGCACGGAGTAGAATGCCCAAAGGCCCATGCAGCACGGAGAGGTAGAGGCTGTACTGCTGCTGCTGCTGCAGCGACAGTTGTAAGTCTTTAGTGGCCTGGACCAGTCGCTTCCCAAACCTTTTCCGGGCTGGCCCTCGTGAGTTCTGGGGGGGGGTTCCTCCAGGTCTTCTGGACGCTGTGCCCGCCCAAAGCCTCGATTTGCCGAACAATCGTTCAAATCCACTTTCGATGAACCCGCAACGGCCCAAGAGGCACCCAAGACGCCCCAGAAGGCTTCCCAAGAAGGCCCCGAAAAGCAAAACTCAATGTCTTCCGGTTTTTGAAGAATTTGGGCCTTCTCGCCTTTTGCGGCTTCCCGACGCCCCAGAAGAAGCCAGAGGGCCCCCAAGCTCGTGTCAAGACGAGCCCCATAGGCCCCCAAGAGGGCCCCAAGACGGCCCAAAGACAACCCAAGAGGCGCCCCAGACGGCCCAACAGGGCCCAAATACGGCTCCAAGAGGGGTCCCAGATGTGGAGCCTGAGCGGACATTTCGAGCCCTCGGCCCCGAAGGCCCCAGGAGGCCCCAAGCGGCCCCCAAGAGGCCCCCAGGGGGCCCCAAGAGGCTACCTAAATGCTCCAAAAGAGGCCCCCAAGAGGCCCCAAAACTGTCCCCAAGAGGCCCCCCGAGAGCGCTCCGAAGAGACTCCAAGAAGCATCCTTGAGATATCGGACCAACAACTCACGCACGGTGGCGGGATGGGCCGACGGCCATTCGATCCGCCGCCCCCTGTGGTCTTGCCACAAGGGTGGCTTGGTTTTGGTTCTTTTTCAAAAGACCTCCTCCTGGGGCTTCGGCCCAGCGCGCTGGCCAGCCGGAAAGGTTCCCCCCAAATTTTGTCTCGCGTTGCGCAGATCGCCTCTAAGGCGGCAGAGATGGCCCAAATGGCCTTCAAGATGCCTCCAAGACGCCTCCAAGACTGCCAACACGGCCCCCCCAGAGCCCCACATGGCCCCAATATGCAATCAATACGGCCCACGAGGCCACCACAACAGCCCGATCTGGCTTCAAGATGGTCCAAGACGGCCCAAGAGGCCGCCCAAGAGGCCTCCCAAACTGCCCTGTGGTCTTGCCACAAGGGTGCCTGGCGTGCTGAACCCTACCGCCGTTGGTTCTGGTTCTTCTCCCAAATAACTCCCCTTGTGGCTTCGGCCAATCCCGCCAGCCACACTGAAGGCTCCGGGCGGGGGGCGGGGCGGCTCCAAAAGTTTTTCCTGCTCCAGATGGCTCCAAGATCGCCTCACGGACAAGATGGCCCAAGACGGCCTCCAAGACGGCTAAGATGGCCTCCGAGGTCGCCCAAGATGGTCCAAGACGGCCTACAAGACGGCCCGAGAGGGTCCCAGATGCCTCCAAGTCCGCCCAAGAAGCATCCACGATGGCCCACGACGGCCAGAGAGGCCCTCAAGACGCCTCCAAGACGTCTTCTAGGAGGGCCCGAAAAGGCCGAAAACACGGTTTTCCTTAGGTTTTTGAACAATTTTGGCATTTGCTTCTTTTCGGCCTTCCGACGGCCCGAGACAGCCCAAATGCCCCCAAAGATCGCCTAAGAGGCCTCCAAGATGACCGCATGACGGCCCAAGATGCCCTCAAGACGGCCCCAGGAGGGCCCCGAGACGGCCCAAGAGGCCTCCAGGACGCCCACGATGGTCTCCAATACGGCCCTGAAGCACCCCAACAGGGCCCCAAGTCGGTTCAGAGAGGCCCCCCAGACAGCTTCCGACGGCGTCAGACGGGCCAGGAACGCCCTAAGAGGGCCAAAGAGGCACCCGAAAAGCCCCCAAAGGCCCGAGAAGCCACCAAAGGCGCCCAAGAGGCCTAAGGAGGCCCCCAAGATGCTTCCAAGAGGCTCCCAAGAAGCTCCCAGGAGGCCCCCAAAGTGCCCCCAGAGGCTCCCAAGATGCCCCCTCCTCCAACTCCTCCACCTCCTCCTCCTCCTCATCTTCCCCGCCATCCTCCCCCAAGTGTCCTCCGAAGGGTTTCCACAACGGCTGGGGGAACACATGGTGCGATAGCTTGGTAGAGCGCTTGCCACAAAGCTCGGCCACATGGTCGATTCTAGAAGGCAGGGGGCGGCGGTGATTCGCCGTAGGCGTCTTCGATAACTTCCACGATCGTCGCAATCTTTGACTTCGTCTGAGGGTCGACGAAATGGCGCAAACCACTTGAATAACAAGGAGGGTGTGGATGATTTTCCACTGCATCCATGATGAATCAGCTCTGCAGCAATATGCGAACCTACAGTGAGGATAGGATAAGAACAACATGTGTGAACTATGTGCGAACAAGATACGCGACGCCGACGAAGGATAACAAAAGGAGGAGGAGGAGGACGGATCAGGGGAAAAGATAACGAGTAGGATGGAGCGGAGACGAAATTAGATGTCGAGGTTGAGACAGAGAATGAGGAATCTTACGGGGAGGAGGAGAAGGAGGAGGAGGAGAAGGAGGAGGAGGATGAGGAGGATGAGGAGGAGGAGAACGAGCAGGAGGAGGAGGACGATGAAGAGGAGGAGGAGGAGCAGGAGGAGGAGGAGGAGGAGGAGGAGGAGGAGGAGGAGGCGGAGGAATATAAGGATAAGGCCGTTGGGGGTCTCTGTCTCGGGCTGCAGGAAACTCAAACCACTTGGCGAGCCCCTTAGTATTTACGTGATGCAGGCCCCCTGGACCGTTGCCAATCCTGGGGGCATGCATGTGGTGCCCCAGTACCTGGTAGGTTTCAGGTGCACGGGTGCCCCGCTAGCAAGGAGCCCCTAATCAGCCGTTCGCAGATGTGCCAAAGCAAGGAGGTCGGCGCTGCGGCTGTCTTGCACGCGCACGCCTCCCATGGGCGGACCAGACACTTTGCCACGCCACGGGAGAACTCCTCGTCCACTCACCAATCCGACTCGCCATATGCATACCGCTGGGGGCAACACCGCGACGCGCCATGTACGCGCCGCAAAGTTTGAAGGTGTTAGTGATTTCGCAAGTCGAATACGTACCAATCGCGCCGCCGCCTCACGATGCCAAGATCTTCGCAGCTGCCCAAAGCGTGTACGACGTTGTCTCATGTATACCATGAGCTGATGCTATGATGTGTATATCCAGATGGGAACTCCTTCTGCCCTGATCGCATCAGTTCTTCATACACTTTATCCACAACTTGGTATGTGTGCTCTGTCACTGGGTCCACACTGTTTCCTGCCCCAACTGCCGCAACATCTTCCAGGACGTCATCGTCAATGTTATGACGTGTCGTTCTCTGCTTTCGGGTCAGGCCAGGCTGCTCCAACATTCCTAAATATTTAACATTGAGCTTCTCACGTGATGTTGTGTCTCTTTGGGCCGGAGCAGAAGCAACGTCTTCTCTTGGCACATGTAAAACTACGCCTAATGGTTTCTCCGTGGGGCGCCCTGGTCTATTTGTGGCGCTCTGCGCGATATTGGTTTTCACCTCTCTAGCCTTCTTATTAAATTTGGCAAACGAATGCTTGGGCGGCTCCTCGTATGCCCAGTGCTCCATGTGACAGATGACTCCATATATGTGAGCATTAACTACTGCTTTGCCGTCATTCAAGTGTGACGTTGCCATATTTTCTGCATCGGCGCCCTCGGCCTCCATTTCCTGATGTTTTCCCCCTCTACTTGAAAACCAAAACGCGCCCCCGATAATACAACTTATACTCGCATGTCTCCATTGTCCTAGCAGCCTCGTCAATACGTGCACTTCTGCTGCGTGGCTTTTCCTGGCATGCGTGCGTCGAACTCAGTCTCGATGTTTTTTGTTGGCCATCATTTCCAAGGCCGCACCCGAACCCTCAACATACATAGAATTTGTTGCGGTACATGTCAAAGTCATCACGTTTGTTACCAACGGCCTTCCGACGAGTACTTCAAGGAACGGTGGGCGGGAACTGTGTTCTCGTACGTAAACCCACCGGGCTCCCCCGCGACCAGAAACGATCTGCAAAGGGCCTGTGCAGTCGCCTTCGGGACAACACTGCAATCCGATCGGCCAGGCGGCAGTTCTGAATCCCCAAATGGCGGCCCAGGGGCATGCGTGGAGCTGGGGGAGCGGACGTCCACTTCGATCGAGGCGGGCGCCATCCTCGGTGCGCAAGCCGCGGGGGGCAGCTCAGCTTCATTGAACGGGTTGTCCAGGTATATGAAGAGCGACAAGATGAGGCGCTGGAGAGAAGTCGACAGCGAATGTCCCCCCATCCTATGGATAATGCGAGCCAAAGCCGATGCGGTCGAGCATGCTGTTCTTGGCGAAGGTGCGCGGCAAGCGCGTGAGGTGGCGCGGTCGATCGCACTGCAAGTCGTGCGAGATGGAGTCGCGTGCGCAGACGGAGCCGAACTTGCGCGAGTCAACCTCGGGCGCGACGTGCATCCTCGAGATGATGCGCCGCCCGCCAACCAGCGTCCGCATGTCAAGCCAGCGCGATGACGGTGGAAGGATTGTATATCTGCTCTGTCAGAGCTCGCCGGCGGGCGCGGCGGTCGTGCGGGGCGCTGCCGTGGCCAAACAGCGCCCCCAAGCGCTTCATCAGCGTGACCTCGAAGTTGTCGGGCGTCCAGTTGGCGACTTGCGCGCTGATGAGGTGGCGCTGGGGCATCGGCTTGATGCCGTCCTGCTCGGCATCGCGCGCGGCGCGCCTGGCAGTCGTCGCGGCCCCGGGCAGATCGTGGCGGCGGCGAGAAGGAGCGACCGGCGACTCGCCTCGGACGGCGGCCTCGAAGCGCTGGGCGATGGCGAACGGCTCCTTCAAGAAAGCATGCGACTAATGGTTCTTCGCAGGTGCGGGTAGACCGCAGGCGCGGCCAGCGGCAGTGTGCAGCTAATGGTAGAGGTCGTGCCACTGCGTCGTAGTGTAGGGGGCCGTGCTCCACAACGTCCCTGGCGAGTGCGCGTGCAACGGCCAAGGGATCCAGTCGGCCAACTCGTGAACGTCCACCAGACGGGAGGTGCTGGGTGGCACCCGCAGCATTTCGTGAACGGCGTGGATCTCTCTGCGACGAAGTTGGGAAGGTCGGTCGGAGAACTGCGCGAGGTGGCCGAGGACCGTGGTCGCCGACGTCTCGTACAAGCGAACGTTGGCGTCGACCGTGGCAGGCGAGGGGCCGATCGCAACGGCCTGCTGCCACCACTTCGACCCCGCTGCATTAGGTTGCCAGCGCCAAGGCCCGCGCGCGCGCCGCGGTAAGGGCCCCGTCCGCGTCCTTGGAGGCGACCCGGTCGGGCAAGCACCGGTGGGGGAAGCCGCTGACCTCGGCGCTGACAGAGCCGGCGAGCTCGACCCAGGGCGGGATGGGCGCGCATGTCTTCACGTTGAAACTAAGATTGCCAAGGAGCTCGGCTTGCTGAATTGTTGTGGTGAGCGTGATGAGGAGGGGCCGTTTCTGCAGGTGAATGCCCCGGTCGTCGGCGCAAGCCCGAGCAGCGTCAGTGAGAAGCATCTGAGCAATGGTGCGAATGCCGATGTCCATCGCTCTGGCCCACGCTGTGCCTGACAGCGGACAACCCTGGGCGACCGCCCCGGAGTCAAGGCCGCGCGCAGAAATACTCGTGGCGCAAGACGGCGTAGCCGTCAGGCTGGTCATGCAGCGCGGCGACGGCGTTGAGGAAACTGGGCTCGAACTTGAACTGCGTGGGGTCTTCGACAAGCTACTGCCTCCCGAGCGAAGGAAATGCGGCCGCAATGTCGAAAGAAACCAGAATCGGCTTCTCGACGTTCACAGACGGGCGCCAGCCCGCCAGTCGCCCCAACGTGTCCGTCAGCAGGATGTTGTTGCAGAACTTGTGGCCTCTGATAAAGCCCTGCTGGATCGGGTACGCGTGGCGCTCAACCTGGGCCTTCAACTGCTGGTTGAGGGCGCTGGCGAAGATCTCCGAGTCGGAGTTCTTGCGCGAGATCGGTCGAAGGCTGCTGGCCTCCATGGTGCGGGGCCATGTGCTGGCGTCCGAGATTTGATCGCCGCGTGCACCATGGCCTTGGTCGACGGGATGTTGAGAATCGGTGTGGTGATGTTCGGCAGCGCGAACTGCGAGACGTAGTCGCCTAGCGCGTTCGCGTCCACTTCCTCGTGCGCGAAGATCAGAAGCTAACGCTCTTGAGGTGCGCGAACCTTTTCCGCAGGGCCGGTGGCGATCTGCCGCGAGTCTGGGACTCGAATGCCAACCGATGTGAGCGCGCGAGAACGGGGCCCAGGCCCGACTGCGGCACTGCATGGCGCGAGATTGTTGTTTTTGGTATTCGACTTCGAGTGCGCGTCCTTGCTGTTAGGCACGACGCGCAGCTGCGCCAGCTCTCCTGGCGAAGGCGAAGGTGCTAATGATGCGCGCGTCAGGGACCCTCGGCTAACTTCGCCTCGTCGACGAGTGAGACGGTGTTGCCATCGGTGTGCAGCGTCTCCTGGCCGATGGTGGTGGTAGATTGGAGCGTGTAGGCGAGGGCGAGGTCCTGCCTCCAGATGGCCCTGGAGACAGCGAAACGTGAACAGGTTTGCCTCCGCCGCGGCCAGGTAGCAGGCCCCGTCAGGAATCCGGACAAACTATTTGCGCGTGAGACGGGCAGCCTCAACCCTGATCTGCTTAGTGGCCGCCCAGTGAGCCGTCGCCGTGACGTGCTCTTCCCGAGCGTAGCCGAAGAGCATCTGCGCATTCTGCTTGCAACGCGGTGCCAGGAAAGCGGTGGGATGCGCTGGGTGTCCTCCGCAGTAGGCTGCGCGATGGCAATCGCAGGCTCCGGCGCGGCATGAACGCTGAGCCTCCTGTCGCTGAGGGCCGCGGGGTTAGTGTTGGCGGAGAGGGCCATCTTCGGGTTCGGCTGCGAAGTGTGTTGGCAGACTGCGGAAGATGCGACCGATCCTTTTTTTGTTTTTTTTTTTTTCTTCAGAAAACGCGCGTCAAACAAAGTCGGCTCACCACTGCTGATCCCAGTCATGGTGGCGAAGAGGCCCCGCCCTGAGGACAACCGGTGCTGGTCGCCGCCGATGCTGGCGGGGGCGAGGGGCTGAGGCTCCGCGAACGAGACGACGGGCTCATCGTTGGTGTTGAGGCCCCCGAAGGCCGCGAAGATGCAGGGGGGCAATCCTCGACCAGCGCTGGCATTGAACCCTCGCGACGCGATCGCCGAGGAAGACCGCGGCGCGGCTGGCCCGAGAAGCACTCGCCGATCTGGGACCGGCCTCGGACGAGAGGTCGGTGAGCGAGGGTGGCGCGATCGGCAGGTGCGCCAAAGTGTGACGGGGCGCTAGGGGCCCGGCCTGCCCTCTCGCGCGAGCAGCTAAATTTCTGGATCTCTGTCACTTCGCTATGGTTCGCCCCCGCCCCAGACAGTGCTGCGCCATTCTCGTGGTAGGGTGGCCTGGCGGCGACCTGTCGATCCAGAGGGGGGGCCAGCGGGGGGTGCTGGGCGCGATAGTTCGACGGCAGGGTGTGGAGCGGCATGTCCCTGGAGCGTGGCCGCCTCGTTTTCTGGCGGAGGTGGCGACGCAGGTGCTGGATGCAGACGCGGCGGGCATCAGCTTAGCTTCGAAGTTGTTCGCGCGGCCGGCGAGAATGTTCGAGCTCAACAGCGCGCGCAGTCAGATGGAGCGCCAGGTTGTAGCGCGGCCATGTTCGCAGGGCGCGAGGGCGCCGAGCGAGTCCATGAGGCGCGGCGGACGTCGTCGGCGCGGCGCCGGCGAAAAGGGCCGTGCGTGTCGTTGTCGGGCCCCTCGAACAAATAATCGAAGTCGCCTCGTCTGCTCAGGGTGAACTGGGTGCGCCGGGCGAGCCACTGGTCAGAGTCGTCGAGCTCGGGGTTTTCGTAGAACGCGCTCGGGAACCGCCGCTCGGGCGATGCGCGCGACGACCTTCGTGATGTCGTCGAATCGATCGCGGTCGTGGCCCACAGGAGAAAGCGGCAACTGCCTCGGCTGCAGTCCAGCGGGTAGATCGAGAGTGTCTATGATGGCCTGCTCTTGATGAGTGGCCTCGCCGAGCTCCTCGGGCCCGGGGGCGTCGGGCGAAGAAGAGGCCGACCTGGGGGTGGGCGAAGAGGTCGAAGACGCGACAAGAGCTGAACGAGTAGCTGTCGAAGCGTGGGAGCCTTTGATGGGCGCCCAGGGGGGCGCGCCAGGGATCTCGCTGCCGGTCTCAGACATTTCGACGGCGCCCGCATTCTCGAGCGGCGGGGACAGCAATGCGACGCCGCCATCGCGATAGTTGCCGCTGCTGCAATGGAAGATGGGGTAGCTGTGCGGGTTGCTGCTGATCAGACGGCGAAGACGTGGACAGGTTCCGTGGACCTCTTGACTGGCAGTGATGTAGGTGTGGCGCATGTATGTCAAGAGTTTGATTCCTCCCACTTTTCTTTATCTCTTTTATTGGCGTCGTCGTCGACGAAGGGTGAGAAGGCTGCGATCGTGCTGTTACGTGGGGCGAAGCCCATGAGACGAAAGGCTCGCGCGCTGAATGTCACCCCGTGATATGCCGCGATCCTCGGAGAAGAAATCGTGGGCGCGCCTGTGAACCGGGTCGCGCCTGATGCTCTTACGAGCGGCAAGGATGCAACTCCAATCGATCTTGGTGTCGGTCTCAGCGGTGGTGCTGCTCTCCAACTTGGCAATGGGGGGCCCGTCGAGCGTGATCCGACCTTTCTGCTCGTAGGGCTTGAACGAGAGGCTGGCGTAATCGGCTTCCAGAATGAAGGCGACGGGTCTGGATCTCTCGGCGAACCGGACGCGCGCTGCGATCGGTGATGATGTAGAGCGGCGCAGGCGGTCCACTAACTGCAGTGCTGGATAAGGTCTGTCGTGCAGGACCTGGTAGATTAAGTCCCCTGACGAAAGCACTGGCACGAGGAAGTGTGACCAGTGGGGCTCCATCAGGACGGATGGTGAAATCCCCGGCTGGAGCGTCTCCGATGAGAGTGGCGCTGCTCCAGTCAGCGCCAGAATCCTGGAACCGTTTTTACAGGCCAGCTTTGCTTGTTGACTTGCAGCGAGCTCTGGGGAGCCAATAGGGAAGACTGCATGGCCAGGTGCACGGTCGAAGTCTTGTCCTGCAGCCAGGTCGACGCAGGAATGGCGACCTCTGCTGGTGCAAGGGTGCGGTGAATGTGGTCGGTCGTCCCACGGCGCCGCTCCTGCTCGGACTCTGAAGCAGCAACTTTGCGCGGAGTGCCCGCCACTTCAACGTCGGTCGCCGCGATGCGCCTGTTGGAGGACCCTGGTGCTTGAAAGGAATTGGCGACGGTCTCGGCTGTGGATCTGCGGAACGCGGCCATGGTGGAGCCCGCGTGGGGCGAGGGCTCGTCGTGGAACGATGCCGTGATGGCCTCGATGCTGCCTGGCTCTGGAGCGGGGCCGCCACGTCGAGGCGATCCATCAGCAGCGGCGGCGCTGGCAGGAGCAGCAGAGGCGGGAGCTATAGGAGGTGGTCCGCCTGCAGGCCCTGCACCCCAAAGGTCTGCAGCATGTAGCGGATCGAAACCTGCGCGTCGCCTGGGGTGCGGCAACAACGGCAACAGCCGGCCCTCCAGCGCGTGGTGCGTCGCGAGCTTGATAGCCCCTGTGGGGACCTGCAGAAACGTTTTCCTGTGACGGGACGGTGGGTGCACCGTCCAGGGCTGCGTAAGCGGCGGCGAAGGCAAGCGCAGACGGAAATGTTGTGGCTCATCCGTGAGCGTGGGCGGGTGCTTGTCGAAGTCGTGGTTGCGCTGGACCAAAACGCGTCCTGAATTGGCAGATGCGTCATCTTTGTCATCATGTTGCCGTTGTCGGTCCCATTCTCGATCGCTATATCGGACTTTGGCGCGACGTGGCGGGCGTGCACCGACTGGTCCGCGGTCATAATTGCGTCCAGCTGCGTGTCGACGGCGGAAGCGGCCACGTCCACAACGAGATGCATGCGTTCTGGCTGTGATCCTGAACCCGCGCTGAACATGCCTGCGTCATCAGTGATATGATGGTGGTCTGATCTTCCAGATCTGGCCATGCTGTCCATTGCGCTGCTCTATCCACACCACTGCGCCAATGTGGATGTTATGGAACTCGTAGGAGGGGTCGGCGAGGCTCGGAGCTGGGCTCGACGAGACTTGGACATGGAGGGCCAGCAGCAGCGCCAGGGGTGACAACGACACAGAGAATATGGAGACCCGCCGGCAAGGAGGTGGGTGGCCGCGCACCCCTGCTTGTAGCGGCACAAACTGAATACTGCACGGTGACTTCAGCCAAATTTGTCACGAAAGAGGCGGCTTGGGAGAGGAGGGGGAGGAAGAAGAGGAGGAAAAGGCGGAAGAGGAGGAGGAGGAGGAGGAGGAGGAGGAGGAGGAAGAGGCGGAGGATGAACAGGAGAAGGAGGAGGAGGCGGATGATAAGGATACGGATGCAGGATAACGATAAGGATAATGATAAGGTTGAGGAAGAAGAGGAGGAGGAGGACGAGGAGGATGTTTTCTTTGTTTTTGTCAACGAGGCCGTTGCTGGCGAGCAGTCCTGCCTCGCCAACCGAAAACACCTGGCCCGAGAGATGGCAAACGCGAGAAAGCCACAACCCCAAGGGCCACGGACGAATCGGAGGCCGACGACTCCGCGCGGGCTGCGCGAATAGCCTGTACCAAAAGGGCCTCGTCGTCCTCTTGGCGGAGTGCGCCTCGCACTGCGCTGAAGTGCTTGGTGAGCTCCGTCTCCTCCTTGTTGGGAGAGGGCTGAGCCTCTGCCGCGTGCTCTGGCGCCTCGAAATATTCAAGGACACCTCTATGGCAACATTGTCCAATGTCGGGTGTCTCCTTTCCAGCGCACGATATTTCTTTCCACCGCTCAGGATGGTCGGGGGGCGGCACTCCTTGGCCAACAAGGCCAGCGGGTCGAGTGCCGATATCGCTTTGCATTCAACGCAAGCGAATCGAATTGATCAGTCGCTGCAGTCGAAAGCCAAGAGGCGATGGCCTCTCGCACCCACTTGCGGCAACTCGTCTGGCACTGCTCCCGAGCAACCCAACGTCGGTGGCTTGCCGCTTTCTCCAAAAACGAACTCCTTCAAAGGACGGCGTTCTTTCAAGCACACAACGCACCTCCAGTACGTGTTGCACCATTCCCACTGGTGGTGGTCAGAAGGGGCCAGGGTCTTGACCTCGAGCTCCCGACGGGTCCTAGGGCAACCTTGGAGGCCCAACGCGGGCCACAAGGGCAAAAAGCGGGCCGCCCAACAACACATGGCCTTGGCTATCTGGACCTTTCGGTCAACCTACTGCAAATCGTGACTCGAGCCCGTCGGGTGGGCTTCCAGCCCCGCCCGAGCTACTCTACCAGCCGCGTCGATACCGTACTTTTCCCGGCGCTGCAGCTGAGTTAAATCGGGGCTGTTCGCCACGTGCGCGTTGACCTCCCTCAAGACCGACAGGTCGCCCGCACGCGCGATTATCATCGTGCCTGCGTGTATCGTCTTGTGCGAAAAACGGGCCGCAAGACCCAACGCGAACGTGTTGACCACATTCGCGCAATCCTGACCACCAACAGAAATGGCGAGGGTTAGGCGTGTCCCCCTACAGGCGGGTTTCGGACGAAAAATAAAAAATACCCTCAAACTATCCCTCAAATGCCCAACAATTGTCAAAGCACCGTCCCCCGACTATTTTTTCTTCTCTCTCCCTGTAGAGGGACAGGCCCAACTTGAAGACATGGCTAGGGCACCAAACTCCGCCACCTGATGGGGTTTGCGGCACTGGGGCCCACATCGGCCCACACACCGAGCAGGTCTCCTGAGCCTCCTGGGAAGCCTGCGCAGAACCCCACGTGGCCCTACCCAGGTAGGAGGAGGAACAGGAGGAGGAGGAGGAGGAGGAGGAGGAGGAGGAGGAGGGGGAGGATGATGATGATGATGATGAGGAGGAGGAGGAGGAAGAGGAGGAGGAAGAGGAGAAGGAAGAGTAGGAGGAGGAGGAGGAGGGGGGGGAGGAGGAGGAGGAGGAGGAGGAATATAAGAAAGACGAAAAATAATTGATGGATAAAACACCTGTCTTGCCGTGTCCCCGTGTTCCCCTCGAACCGGAGCGTATCTGATCATAACCTAAGAGAGGATGCAACGCAGGGGCATAAGGGAAGGAACGCAATCAGGACGAGAGGGACGGGGACAACGAAGAGTAGGAGGGGTGTAGGAGGGAGCAGGAACATCGCGAAGGTGACAAAGGGGGAATAAGGGAAGGAGCAAGGGGAGGCTGAGGAGGGGAACTTCGGAAGGGAAGAAGGACAAGGCAGAGAAGGAGGCCCTGAAACTGCAACCGTGGTGGCAGAGCTGCGTCTCCAAGTTATGTTGCCGTCCACCTGCAAACTGGGAGAACTGCGCGGGCCACCGAAGAATGGGCCAATCCCTTCGAGCCCATTCGGGGATGCGCGAAGCGCGCTTGAAGAACATTCCAAACGCACAGGAGTCAGCATCTCTCGGAGAACTTCGAGCCAAGGGGCCGCGGCAAAGTCCGTGCAGGCCGCTGCCTTGCGCGCGCCAGCGGGCCTGTCGGCTCTGCTGGTCCGGCGGAGGCGTCGCAATGCTAGGCTCCGTGCTCCGGGCGTGGGCCTGCCGGGCCTGGCCAGCAAGGCGGCAGCCCGCTGACTGTGAGGAGGCCCGCTGGGAGTGCTTCGCTCCAGTCCGCGCCGCTTTGCAGCGCGTCTTCAACAGTTCCGCCACCGCGCCTGCAGCGGTCGGGGTGCGTCGGGCCGGCGCCTTTCTCCTCAGCTCGGCCTCTCGCGAGGCAACCGCAGGGGCCCGCCGACGCATCAAGGCTAACATGCGTTTGCCTGCCGGACCCCCACGCAGCGGGTGGTGCCAAAAATGAGGAACCGAACTTTATACACCTATGCTTTTTTTTTCTGGTCCCGCACTGAGATCCGCACAAGAAAACGGATTCTGGTGTATACGGCATCCTGGTGTATATATTTTTTGTTGTTTCCCACGGGAAAACGGGGAAACAAGTATACACCACACCACCCCGACGTCGCCCCCGACTCTCAAAAAGTTCTGGGATTGAAAAACAGCCCGGCACTGGTAATGTATGTGTTCCAGTTTCCGAAAAAACAAGCACACGGGTGACGGGGTCCATGGCCTTCCTCCCTGGGCGATCCCCCAGGACTCCCCCCCGCCCCCAGGCCCCGCTTCTGGCGCGGTGGCGGATCCTCGCGGCGGCGGTGGAGCTTGATACAGTACTTAATTTGTGGCAGCGGGGAACCGAGGAGACGACAGGAGGACGAGGAGGATGAGGAGGAGGAGGAGGAGGAGGTGGATGGGGGAGGAGGCGGAGGAGGACGAGCAGGTGAAAGGCCACGGATGGAGACGTCCAGTGCAAGGGAGCTTGCCGAGCGAGCCTGGACCGCGCCCTGGCGGCAGCGGGCAACAAGAAGAAATGAGCTTCGCAGAGTCTGCGGCCCTGCCACGGACGGAGCCCTGACGTGCGCCCGCGAGGCGCACCTCGCAGCCGCGCACTGGCAGGCAGGCGGATCCTGCGCCTCACGGCGGCCCAGGGAACACTCGTCACCGCCTCAGGGGCGGCGCCTCCATCGTGGCGTCGATGCACTTCTCGTACTCGTCGATCGCCCTCGGCCAGTAGAAGTTGCTCCCCATCGCGTTGCTCTGCATCTGCCTGAAGAGATCCTTCTTGTGGTGGAAGATGCTCAATGCCTGGTAGAGTCGCTCCTTCAGCCTGTTCGCGTCGAAGCCAGAGAAGAGGAAGCCAGTCGCCCTCTGCCTGTCTCGGCTCTCATCATACAGTCCATGGACGGAATCCTTCAGGCCGCCAGTTTCGTGTACGACGGGAAGCGTACCGTACTGCTGTGCGTACATCTGGGGCAGTCCACAAGGCTCGTACTGCGAGGGCATCAGGAGGATATCGCAGCCGGCCATCATCCTGTGCTCCACCTCTGGGTCGAAGCCGATGTAGCCGCAGACGCGGCCCTTGAAGTGCGCCTCGGCGGTCCTGATCATCTGCTCGTAGCCAGTGTCGCCCTTGCCCATCATGATCAGCTGCGCTCTACCGTTTACGGAGTTACCTGTGTCGGTCAACAGCCAGGGGATGACCTCGTTGATCAGGTGTATGCCCTTCTGATTGCACAGGCGCCCGCAGAAGCCGATCAGGCACGTGAGCGGATCCTGGTGAAGGCAGAGCTCCTTTTGCAAAGCACTCTTGCACTTTGCCTTCCCCTCCTCGAAACTCTTCGGCGAGAAATTAAAAGGAATATCCACCACCGTGCCGGCACGATGTGGAGAGTCAGAATGCTTGTTCGTTGTGTGGTCGGTATTCTGCAATTTTTCAGGGCCGACCGCAATAACCGCCGTCCGCAAATCGCCCACTCATTCTCCGTCCTGGTACACTTTTCGGCCTCCACATGGCTCCAAGATTGCTGCGAAATATCCCAAGACCAGCTGGAGACGGCCCAACAACGCCACAATCCGAGAAGCACCTGATAGAGCTCAAGAAGATGCCTCCAGCGAGGCCCTGAAAAGCAAACAAAACATGGAAACACCCAACAAACACGTGCTCCGAAGCTTTTCAGCTGCAGATCGCCTCGGGGAAGCAATAGAGAGCATCAACAAGCGCCCGAAACGCCCAAAGATGGCTCCACGACTTTCCTAGAACACCCCGAGACAGCCCAAGAGGGCTCTAAGACGGCCCCCAGTCTGGGAGAACTCGGTAGAACGGTCGCGCCCAAGACGGCCCAAAGGGTCTCTAACGGGCCAGTAACAACCCCCAGGGGGCCCCAAACAAACTTCCATGAAGCTTCCAAGATGCCTCCAAGAGAGAAGAGCGAGGAGAATAACCAGGAGGACCAATGGGGAGACCGATGCGGCGGACAAGGAGGCGGAATTCCAGACTCGCGCCAGATTAGATAGGCAGTCTGCCTTGTAGCGGGTCTTCAACTCCACCTCCTTGCTGAGTGCAGATGTACGGGCACGGTGGCAGGGTTTGCCGCAGGCAGCTGGATAAGGGTCTATCATGGGGCTCCACTCATCGGAGATACCGTTGAGTATGCCCTCGAACCGCTGCAGGCCGCTCTTCTCCCGCAAGGCGTGGTCTAGGCCAAGTCCACCAGCGGCTGTCTGGATCTGCCTAGCATAGTTCGGAGACACCGTCAGGACCCGGTCTGCTACCTGAATGCCCGCTCCGAGCAAATTCAAGCAGTCGCGATCGCAAGAAAGCTCGCGCTCGGCCTCCTTGGGCAAGCCAAGGAAGCGGTCGACAGGGTATGTCGACTTCCTGTACCTGCCTTGGTAACCCATATTGTGCAACACCATCATCACCCGCGCCTTCCTATAAGTAGAATTTGGCTTGTACTTGTAGTTCAAGTAGAGGGGCAGCAAGCCAGTCTGCCAATCGTTGGCTATGAAGCAGATCTCCTGGCCGTATGTCGAGCCCCCGAGGTTGAGCAACAATGGGGCCTCCAATGCGGCCGCGCTGAGCAGAGCGAACCGGAACAGGTTGTCCTGGTACTCCCCCCCGTGCTTGGGGTCGCCGTAGATGCCGGCGGAGCGGTGGTACGAGGGGTGGTCCACGAAGACGTAATCGCAGCCATTGCCGCCACCGTAATCCTTGCGAAGGTGGTAGTACTTTACCTGGTGCTCGCGGCCGTCCAGCCACACCTCTGCGGAGCCGACGATCTCCGTGCCCTCATAATCGCCGTAGCGAGGAGCGATTGCCATCGTCCGGTGGCCGCGCATGGCGAACTCGTATGCGTAAGAGCCGACAACCATGGCGAGGCCCCCTGTCTTGGACCACGGGTGCATCTCGGAACTTACTACAACGACTGGCGTGTTCAAATGCCTGGCTCCGTACCGCACTGGTCGCTCTTCAAATAACTCCTCCTGCCGTATCTCGTCCATTCTGTCCCGCAACTCCACGAGGCCGTCCGTGTCCACAGTCTGCTCGAAGCACGACATACTCGAGCCACGCAACATGTCGGGAGTATTCGTGATTGGCGCCCTTCGACCGGGCGGTGTGCAATCGGGAATGCTGTAGCAGTAGTCAGAGTGCGGAGACCCGTGTATTGAACTAGCCTCCGTCGTCAGCCTGGTAAGAGGCCCCTCGGTGGTGCTCTCGTGGTCCTGATCGCTCGCTCTGTCGCTGACCGAGAGGCTGCTCGGCTTGAGGGCTATCTTCGAGGTGCCCACGAGGTGGGGATGCCTCCTCGCCTGGCCCTCCGACGCAAGCTCCGAGGCCGCCGTCGACGGTGCTGGCGACCGGCCCAGCGAGGCGGAGCAGCCCTCCTGCTGCGGGCCGAGCGCCAGGTCGCTGTGCACGCCCGGCCTGGCGTGACTCGCCAGGGCCTCCCGAGCCTTGGCCAGCTCGGCCTCCGACGCGGCGAGACCAGCCTTCAAGGCTTCCACCTCCGCTGCGTGCGCGCGCTCCTCCTCCAACCTCTCCCTCTCCTGCACCCGGCAGGCGGCCGCCATTCGTTCGCAGTGCTCCAGCTCGAGGGCGGTCACCTTGGCCCTGAAGCCCTTCTCTCGCTCCGCGCCCTCCCTCTGCTCCTGCCGCAGGCTGGCGACCTCAACCCTCAGCGCCTCGCACTCTGTCTTCAGCACCTGCTCTGTGGGCGCCCGGGCCCCCAGCTCCGCCTCCAGCGCGGCGGCCAGGGCCCTGGACTCTGCCGCCGCCGCCGCGTGCAACGACAGCTCATGCTCCAGCCTCGCCGTCTTGGCGAAAAGCTCGCCCTCAAGAGCGGCGACCCTAGCCTGCGACGCTGCGGCCTGGCCGGAGAGAGCCGCGACTGTGGCCTCCAGCCTTCTGCGCGCCTCCAGCGAGGACTCGTCCGCCTCCTGTGGCGCGGCCTGGTGCTCCTCGCAGCAGGCCGCATTCTCGCAGCGTGCGGCCTCGGCCTCGCCATCCAGCTTCGCCCGCTGCGGATCTGGGGCGCGGGGCGCGCCCTCCACTCTGCGCCGCTCTGGTACGCCTGGGGCCGCTTTGGCGCCTCTCCTCTTCCTCCGCGGTGTTGCCTCGGCCGCCGCACGGGGCGCCACCGCGCCACCCTGCGCCTGTCCCGCGGTCCCCGCCGTGCGGAGGCTCAGGCAGTCGGGGCCCAGCAGACAGACGGAAACGTACTGGCAAGGCTGGGCCCAGCTCCATGCCACCTCGCGGCCAGCGCGCAGGAGGGCCCCGTGGCCGGCTGGCACCGAGATCGTCTGCTCGTCGCACAGGAGCTGCACCTCCCCGCTGGTCACCAGCACGTACTGGTCGTACTCGGGCACCTGGCGCAGCCGGCCTGTCGCCGCGGTGACCTCGGCCGCGCAGGCGGACAGCTTGGCGTCCCCGCTGGCGGTGGGGCCGAAGTACTCCGCGATGCTCAGCGCGGGGCTGCGAAGCATGCCCACGGCCTCCGTGACCTCGGGCAGGTCGGCGCGGACCTCGGCCGCGGGCGCGTCCCACCTGTCCAGATCCTGGAGGCCAATCCAGTCCGCGACCGGCAGCTCCCCGTCCTCGAACTGCACCTTGAAGGGCACCTCGCTGCCGTCGTCCGCCAGCACCGCGGCGAAGCGGCCCGATGCCCTCGCGAACATGCACCCGCTCAAAGTGGCCCCCGGATCCCTCCCGGGATACACCCCGACTCGTTTTTCCAGACGCGTCCAGCTGTGGCGGCAAGGGGGGCCTCCGAAGGCCAAGAAACCAGGACGATGAGATTTCCAGAGGTCCCTGACGGTCCCCGCTGAGGAGGTCCCTTCAGATCTCCGGACGATGATTGCCGGGCCCCCGAACAGAAGGTCCTCGCATCCTCGATGTGCACTGCTTCTTGTACAGCCTATGTGAGCTCGCAAAGCTCGCGCGCATCGCTCGCGCTTAGGTGTTAGCTCAGGCAAAGCAGTTGTTGCATCAATGATCGAACGGGCAGGCACACCGTCCCACCACGATCCGATCACCACCTGGGAACAACTGCACCATCGTGGGCATACATGCCTCCATGGCGTATCCCGCCTACTGCGGCACATCCTGCGCACGGATCGTGCTCCTCAGGGAGCTCCACCCACGGCCCCAGAGGCAGGGCTCGCATAGCGTTTCCCTGCCAATCCCGACGCACCCCTCACATGGATCGTGTACGGTCCCAGAGACAAGATTCGCATGGCGGCGCACCTCTCACGTAGATCGTGCCCTGCAGGCAACTGCACTTGCGGCATCAAAGAAATGCTTCGCATAGTGCCGCCCCGCTCACTTCGGCACACGATCGTGCCATGAAAGGAATTCCACCTATGGCCTCAGAGACAAGATTTGAAACCCGCCCCCCCCGCCCATTTCGGAGCACATCTCACACCGATTGTTCCCAACAAGGAGCTCCACCGACGGCCCCAGAAACAGGATCCGCGTAGTGCCCCCCCCAGCCCATTGCGGCACGCTCCTCACGCGGATCGAGCCCCACAGGGAGCACAACCCACAGCCCCGGAGGCAAGATTCGCACATCGTCCCACGGGTGCCCCCCAGATGGAGCTCTGCCTATGGCACCAGTGTGCAATTTCGCATGGCGTTCCCCCGCCCTGGGGGCGTCTTGGGGCCTCCTGGGGGCCTCTTGGGGGCAATCTTGATGCATCAGCAGCCCATCGCAGGCGAGAAAGCGAGAAGGCAAAGATCACTGGCTATCCCGTAGTTTTTGTTTGTTTGTTTGTATGTTTGTTTGTTTGTTTGTTTGTGTGAATGTGTGTGTGTGTGCTTTTTGATGTGTCGGATATGTCCTGAAGGGTCTCCTAGTGCCCTCTGGGGCTGTCCTGAGCGCCTCTAGAGGCCTCTGGAGGCTCCCTTAGCCGTCGGCGACCCCTGGAGGCCGTCTTGGGGGTGGCTCGGGGCCGTTTGGGACCGCCTGGACGGGTGTCGGCTCCCTCCGGGAGGCGAGGCGGGGCCTCCCAGCAACGGGCCCGGCGCCCCCGGCCTCACAGTGGTTGCTGTGGTTTCGGCCCAAAGGGGCCCCGGGGCCTGGTCCCCCGTGTTGTGCATGTGCAGTGCTTGCGTAGGGTGTGACAGGGTGTGACCCCTATGTGATGCCATGTCTCGTGAACACTGCGTCTGGTACCAGACTCGGCCGTAGGGTCAGACACACACGGAGCTGGGTAAGAACTAGCAATTACGCCTAATTGAGGCACCAGTGGGCGCCAACCATCGGGCAAACTGCTGCAGGGCTTCAGGGCAAGGGCGAGAACATGTAGCACATAAGGCATCTTTTACAGCCGGCCATGAGGAACCGCTCATCGGACATCAGGGCGAGAACGATAATTCGCAACAACTAAGGGGCATCAGCCATGGAGCACCGTTCACAAGGCACCAGGGCAATAACGATACATCGCAATCACGACGCACCGCCCATATGTCACGCGCATACTGTATCAGGGCACGACGAAGCATCGCAACATTTGGGGCATCAGTCAGCATCAACCATAGGGCACCACCCAAAGCGCACCATTCATAGGATACCGTGGCAAGAAGGCGTCACATGGTACTAGCCATGGGACGCTATCCATAAGGCAGCATGGCAACAAAACGTTGCAACGGATCTTCCATCATCGGGCACCAGCCATGGGGCACCACCCCTAGGATACCAAGGAAAACACGAATTCGCAACACGTAAGGCGGCATAGGACACCTGCCTTCAGGAACCATGATAATGACACAGCATCGCCCGACTCGTTGCGTCGTAAATAAAGTGCCAACCATATGACACAACCCGTACGATATCACAACAAGAAGGATCAACCAATCGCAACGGGGAAGGCATCATGGGCACAGGCCGTAGAGCGCCACCCAGACTGCATCACCACAATAACACATTACAATCTAGAAACATCTTGGCCAATTATGCAATATCACCCTTAGAACACCGTGGCGAGAACCTGACATTCGCGACACGCCATGTAAGTACCACACATACAGCACCACCAATGCAACACCAAGGAAATAACGAAGAAACCGCACAATTTAAAACACCCTCGGGCACCAGCCATAAGGCACCAACCCACAAAGCACCAACACAATAACGAAACAACGCGACACTTAAGGCATCAATGCTACCGTGCATAGGGCAACGTACATATGGAACCATGAGAATACCGGAACATCGCCCGACGAATTGCACCATTTGGTGCCAGCCGTAGGGCACAACCAGTTAGGTACCAGGGTCACGCCGATACATCACAACATTTAAGACACCATGTGACACCAACCAGATAGCACCACCCATACTACAAGACTGCTAAGACGAATAATTCACAACATTAAAGATCCATAGGGCGCCAACGACGGAACAGCGCTCACATCGCAAGGGCGTTAACGAGATAACCGCTTCACTTCATGCATCGTAGGGCACTACCCATGCCATAGCAACACCAAGAAGGCACCATGACGTCGCAATGCTGACCATTCACGATGGCACCACCGCTAACTGCATACACGCACAACCACGTAGGCATATGTGTATGCATGCACAAATATATGTGCCTTTGCACAGGTGTGTATGTGTGCATGTATGTATGCATGTATGTATGCATGAAAATATGCTTGCCGAACTGTTTATATAGTTGTTTGTATACGTGTATATACATGCGTGTACACACAAACATATATATATATATATATATATAAATATAACGAGTTTCACACAGACTCGATTAATCTATGTATACCACACCCATCAGACACCAAGACACTACCGATACTTCGCAACGCTGAACGTATCATACGGCACCAGCCATGGGGCACACCTCATTGGGCACCAGGCCATTCACGCCATACTCGAAACATGCATTTCCAACTCCATCCGTACGCACTGTTTGGGATGTAATTATGCGTTCAACACCTGCCACAAGGATAAGCTATAGAGTACCAGGGCAATAACGAGGCAACTCGCAGCATCCGGAGAATCATATAACACCAGCCGCGGGGCACCGCCTACAGAGCACCAGGGCAACAACAAGAAACCTCACCAACGATTCGATTTCCAATTCCCCTCACCACAAGCAAGGGCCCCTCGGTGCAATCACCGCCGGGAGAAACGAACACTCAAAGCCTGGAAGAGAAAGGGGGGGGGACGAGGGGGAGGGAAGGGGGAACGGGTGGAGGGGGATATGGTGATGGATGAAGAGGGGGAGAAAAAGGGGTGAAGGACGGGGAGGGGGGGGGGCTGAGAGAGGATGAGGATGAGGAGGAGGATGACCACTGTAAACCCAAGACGCATCGACGATGTTGCAATACATTCCTCCGCAAATTTCCCTCTTCATAAGTCCCAGCACGAATTTTCTATTGCTGGAAGTACTCTGCTGGACGACAACTTTTTGAGAATCCCCAATTGCGCCCAAACGCCACTCATGGGACTGCGTCGCCGCGAATCAACGCGACTATTGCGTCCAGACAATCCAAAATCATGCCAGATCACCATACCATTCCTGTGGCTGCATCACAGCGGATCAAAGTGATGGTTGCGTCCTGACAACCCTAAATCGTGCCAGAACACCATTCCTGGAACCATGCGTACCCTTTGACCTGTTGCTGCGAACTTTTAAGACCAACGTGCGTAGCGCTAGGGCGGGAACCACATTTTGAAAAGGAGCCGCCCTGCATCCATGAAACTGTCGCAAACCTCAAAAACAAATTGGCGGGGCGCTGAAGCGAGAACCACATTCAGAAAACTGCCAGCCCTCCATCCGTGACACCGTTGCATGCAAACTTTTCAACTTCAGGATCATGAACGGCGAAGTAATCGCACGCGAAACGCCCGGCCCGCTTTACCGACACGCCTGGGGGTGCGACAGGCTTTTTGTTCCCTCCGGCCAATGGCAACGTTGAACAGTTACTTCAAGATCCACTTCTGGGTCATCTGTGACTTGGTAAGTTTTGACAAGCCTGGTGGCAGACCTTGCTGCACCTTCGCCGATTGCTGCTTGCCGTATGTTTTGCGCTGGTGCGTGCACTCCTTGGCCAACTTTCTGACCGCCTGTGTGGCGTCACAGCCACAGGCAAGACAAACTGTGCTCCCAAACTCCTTATGATTAGCTGCGGTGTGGGAGCCGTGTGAATCTATGCCGTTGACCGTGCTCCGAGTGGCCACCATAATCAAACCTCGAAACAGACCCTCGTGGCAGGGGGCCGCGAGAAAGCTATCAAGCATTCTGTACCGAGCACAGCCACCACACTTGTAGCAGCGGAGAAGAGAGCCAATGCCTCCTACGGGCTCGTGCGAAGTGAGAAGCAACTAAATCTCGACCACTCGGCGCCTCTGATTGGGCGCTCACTCTCTGGGTACTCTGTTCCCGTCGGCCTCCAAAGAAGCAACCACACCGTGTACGAGGCGCTGCCGAACCTGAAAAGCAATCGCCTGAGCATGGGACCTGGCGTCTCTATCCCTAGCTGGGACTCTGAGGTTCTCGGCCCACTGGCTTGCAATAGTGTCAGAAACCTCATCCAAGAGGAAAAACAGGGGGCCGCATCACTGGTCTTGACCTCCTCCAGAGACCTGTGGTTTTCAGCCTTGGCCAAAACAGCAGCTCTGTCATAATGTTCTTTGACAAGGTCCCCGATCGAGTGCCACACGTCCAAATGCGACTTAGGATGCGCTCCCCTTTGGACCTGACCCAATTTTTTAGACACCGTAGGAAAGCTCTGAGACAAACACTCCATTGGCAAACGGGAAGGTGGCCTTCAAGAGCTGAAGGGAGCTCATGGCGTCTCCCCTGTTGGCCGACTGGCGTCATCCAGGCACATCGCCAAAACCACACGCATGTGCCTTAAGCTCCGGAGGATAGTCAATCACGCACGCAAGGCTCTGATCACGACCCAGGACCAGGCAGCACTACGCAGGGCAAGGTCGTCCGAATCAGGACCCCCACTGGCGTCTCCTCCTCTGAAAGTAATACCGTCAGCCACCGCCCTTTGGAACTCCACCCCGTAGGCCTGAACTTCTCCCTGGCCGGCGGAGGGGGAACGGCGGTCCAACTGCTTGGCGTCAGCCCTCGCAGCCAAACAACTCGGGTTGTTCCCCCAGTCTGCTAGCGCTCTGCGCCTGACCGACTCGGGCACCTTTGAAAGGCTGCTGTTCTATGGACAGCCCCACGCTCTGTGCACGTCACCCAGCAGGCTCCTCGCAACGCTTGCAGGCACTGTCCTGTGTCGACCCACAGTCTTACAACCTTGATGTCGGCCAACTGTTTCCAAGTGGCCACCACGGGCACGAGGGCTCTCCATCCAAACTTGCCCTTCTTGGTTAAAGACTTGAGGCGCTGGAAGCCGAAGCAATCTGGGACTTGCTCCAGGGGTCGAGGAGAAGGATGAGCAGGAGGAGGAGGAGGAGGAGGAGGAGGAGGAAGAGCAGTAGGAGGAGGAGGAGGAGGAGGGGGAGGAGGAGGAGAAGGAGGAGGAGGAGGAGGAGGAGAAGGTCCAACTTCCCTCAACATAGGCCCCTACCAACATTTATCATCTGAACAACCGCCTGAACATCCTCGATAATTTTGCCAAACCACAATTCATGGGATTTCAACGCCGCGAATCAGCGTGACAATTGCGTCCTGGCAGTCTTGAACCATTCCATAACACCATTCCTGGGACTTCAACACAACGAATCAACATGACCATTGCGTCCGGACAACCCTGCCTCGTACCAGAACGCCGTTCTGGGGACTTCAACCCTACGACACCTTCTAAAACTCAGACTATACAACGAACGCGCGCGGCGCTAAGGCGATAAATGCATTTTGAAAAAGACCCGCCCTCCACCCGTGAAACGTTCGCACTTTTTAGACGACTGTGAGCGGCGGAACCAAATTTAGAACATGGCCCGCCCTCGATCCGTGAAGCTGTTGCAAACTTTTAAGACGAATGGCGCTCATGCGAGATCCACACTTTGAAAATGGCCCGCCCTCCATCCGTGAAGCTGTTGTAAAGTCTTAACCCCAAGATCACGAAGTCTCACACGAAACGCCCGGCCGGCCCTACTGACACGTCTGGGGGTGCGACAAGGAGGAGTTATTCACAAGGGAAATGGATGTATGAGGACGAGAAGGAACAGGAGGATGAGGCGAAGGGGGAGGATGATGATGATGAGGAGGAGGAGGAGAAGGAGTAGGAGGAGGAGGAGAAGGGGGAAGGGGATGAGGATGAGGACGAGGACGAGGACGATGATGATGATGAGGAGGAGGAGAAGGAGGAGGAGGAGGAGGAGGAGGAGGCAGAGGCAGAGAAGGAGTGGGCGGCAAGAGGGGGAGGTGAAGGAGGAAGAGGGGCGACAAGGGGAGAGGGCAAGCCTCACGAGCACCCGCTCGCCCACGGCAGGTCGACCGTCCATGGCGGCCGCGGAAGAGGCGCCTTCGGGGCCCGCTGCGGGGCGGGTGGGTAGCGGGTTGCCGCTGAGAGGACTGGGCCGATGCCGCTGCGGACGGGCGGGGCCGCTGGGCGGGGGGGGGAGAGCCATGAGGCGGAGGGGTGGGGCAAAAAATGGGGGATGATGATGATGAAGAGGAGGAGGAGGAGGAGGAGGAGGAGGAGGAGGAGGAGGAGGAGGAGGGGGAGGAAGAGGAGGAGGGGCAACGGCACAATCACTCGCAGAGAGGGGACCACCCGACACGCCCCGATGTCAGCCAACAGCTTCGCGGCGGCGAACAGTGCCTGGGATGCCAGGGGCAGACGTAAACGTGATACATGAGCGAATAATTAACTACAAAATGAGAATGCCGACCGCGGGGCGCGTCCAAATTATCCGAACGCGACCAGCCGATTGAGCTAAAACGACCGCTCGCAGCCCACGACAATGTAGCTCAACGAAATGGAAGGCGAGGCCTCATTTGGCCGCAATGCTGGCATAGTCCTTGCCGAAATTCTCCAGACTCGCCTCCGTCTGTTGGGCTTTGACGTAGGCGATCGTCATCATCTCCGAAAGCCCACCCTGACCCTCCAACACGCTCCAGAGGTCTTACCGTGCACTTGGGGCCATCCGGGGCCTTCTTCGACTCACCTCGGGCCGTCGTCGACTCAAATTAAGGCCCACTGGACGCGCCTAGGAGGACCAAGACTCGCCCAGGGGGTGGGGAAAAAGGCTGGGGACCCAAATCAGGGCACTTCGGGCCCCCCAGATCCCCCTCCCCGTGAATACTTGATAGCTAGCGTGGGCCCGAAGCAGTGTGTTTCTACCAGTCTATGCTGTGCAATCTATGTCTGGCAAAACATGTGGTACAACACATGCGGTACAATCTATGTGGTGCAAATGGTTTTCACACATCATTTGACACATCCCACGCTCTTGCAAACATCCCACCCACCCGCCCACCCGCAACTTCGTTTTCAAAACCTCTTAAGACCGACTACCACGACACCGACGACAACGACTACGACGACACCGACGACGTCTCCGACGACTTCGACGACGACAACGACGCCGACGCCGACGCCGACGACGCCAACGAAGACCACGACGAGGGAGGAGGAAGGACGACGACGGCGACAACGACGACAACGACAACGACGAGGGAGGAGGGAGGACCTCGACGACGCGAACGACGAAGAAGGAGGAAGGACGGCGACGCCGACGACGACAACGACGAGGGAGGAGGGAAGACGACGACGACGACAACGACGACGACGATGACGACGGCGACGAAATAGGAGGGACGACGACGAGAGGCCGACGACGGACGACGACGACGACGAGGGAGGAGGAGGAAGGACGACCACGGCGACAACGACGACGGAAACGACCACGACGCCAAAGAGGACGACGACGACGACCACGAGGAAAGACAGAGGACGACGTAGGCGACCACGACGACGACGCGGGAGCGCGCGCGCACGCTTTTGTTGAAAATCCGTGTTGCGAAACCTTGTGTTTTTGTAGGTTTTTTGGACACAAGATTTTGAAATCCTTCCGAAACCGATGGGTTTTGAAGGTTTTCGGCATACGCGCGCGACGACGCGCGCGTCTGCACTTCGTCCCATTTTTTGCAAAGGATTCTCGCGACGGTACACGCGCAAGGGCGTTCGACAGATTTCGACATGCGCGCGCGCGCGAAGCCCATTTAAGAGCATTTTGTGAAAATCTTGAAAAACCTATGGTTTTCTTAAGATTTCGCAAGAGCTCGCGCGGAGGTTTTTTTCCCAACCATCCTGTGGTGTTGGGTCCTCGTTTTGAAGAGACGGTCCCCGCGTTCCTCCTCCACTTCTCCTCTTCCCCCTCCTCCCTCCTTCCCCTCCTCCCTGCGTTTCACCCACCCAGTACAGCGTTTCGTGGCCCCACAGGGGGCTCCACCGAAGGCCCCAGTGCTGCCGCCCGCATGCGTCAGCCACACCCAATTCTGCACACCCCTCACACGTTTCGTGGCCCCATAGGGAGCTCCAGCGAAGGCCCCAGTGCTGCCGCCCGCATGCGTCAGCCACACCCAATTCGGCACACCGCTCACACGTTTCGTGGCCCCATAGGGAGCTCCACCGAAGGCCCCAGTGCTGCCGCCCGCATGCGTCAGCGCACACCCAATTCGGCACACCCCTCACACGTTTCGTGGCCCCATAGGGAGCTCCACCGAAGGCCCCAGTGCTGCCGCCCGCATGCGTCACCCACACCCAATTCGGCACACACCTCACACGCTTCGTGGCCCCATAGGAGCTCCGCCGAAGGCCCCATGCTCCGCCCGCATGCGTCACCCACACCCAATTCGGCACACCCCTCACACGTTTCGTGGCCCCATAGGAGCTCCTCCGATGGCCACAACGCATGCCGCCCGACATGCGTCAGCCACACCAGTTCGGCACACCCCTCACCACGCTTTGTGGCCCCATAGGGAGCTCCCCAGTTGCCGCCGCCCCGCATGCGTAGCCAAACCCCATAAAACCAATTCGATCACAACCCTCACACGTTTTCGTGGCCCATAAGGGAGACTCCACCGAAGGGCCCCCGTGCCACCGCCCCGCTATGCGTCAGCCACACGAGCAACACCCCTCACACGTTTCGTGGCCCATAGGGGACGCTCCACGAAGGGGCCTTAATGGAGTGGCTGTCGCCCAGAAATGCGTCAGCCACACCACAATCGCCAATTCGGCCCACACCCCTCACACGCTTCGTCCCCCCCCCCCCCCCCCCCCCCCCCCCCCCCCCCCCCCCCTGGCCCCATAGGGAGCTCCACCGAAGGCCCCAGTGCTGCCGCCCGCATGCGTCAGCCACACCCAGTTCGGCACACCCCTCACGCGTTTCGTGGCCCCATAGGGAGCTCCACCGAAGGCCTTAGTGGCTGCCGCCCGCATGCGTCAACCACGCCCAATTCGGCACACCCCTCACACGTTTCGTGGCCCCATAGGGAGCTCCACCGAAGGCCGCAGTGCCGCCGCCCGCATGCGTCAGCCACATCCAATTCGGCACCCCCCTCACACGTTACGTGGCCCCAACCCGCATGCGTCAGCCACACCCAATTCGGCACACCCTTCGCACGCTTCGTGGCCCCATAGGGAACTCCACCGAAGGCCCCAGTGCCACCGCTCGCATTCGTCCCGCACACCCATTTCGGCACCTCCACCAAACACAGCGTTTCGTGGCCCCACAGGGACCTCCACCGAAGGCCCCAGTGGTGCCGCCCGCATGCGCCACCCCCACCCAGCACAGCGTTTCGTGGCCCCACAGGGAGCTCCACCGACGGCCCCAGTGGTGACGCCCGCATGCGTCACCCCCGCCCAGTACAGCGTTTCGTGGCCCCACAGGGAGCTCCACCGACGGCCCCAGTGGTGCCGCCCGCATGCGTCACCCCCGCCCAGTACAGCGTTTCGTGGCCCCACAGGGGCCTCCACCGAAGGCCCCAGTGGTGCCGCCCGCATGCGTCACCCCCACCCAGCACAGCGTTTCGTGGCCCCACAGGGAGCTCCACCGAAAGCGGCACCCGCAATGCGATATTCACAGCTGCGCATGGTTGGGTCCTTCGCCAGGATAATTGGCAAATCAGTGTTGCGAAACCCGGTGTTTTTGTGCATTTGTCCCAACCATCCTGTGGTGTTGGGTCCTCGTTTTGAAAAGACGGTGCCCCGCGTTCCTCTCCTCTCCTCCTCTCCTCTCCTCCTCTTCCCCCTCCTCCCTCCTCCCATCAGCATCATCATCATCATCGTCATCATCATCATCGTCATCATCATCATCATCCTCATCGTCATCACCCACCATCATCGTCATCATCACCATCGTCGTCACACCTCTCACACGTTTCGTGGCCCCATAGGGAGCTCCACCGAAGGCCCCAGTGCTGCCGCCCGCATGCGTCAGCCACACCCACTTCGGCACACCCCTCACACGTTTCGTGGCCCCATAGGGAGCTCCACCGAAGGCCCCAGTGCTGCCGCCCGCATGCGTCAGCCACACCCAATTCGGCGCACCCCTCACACGCTTTCGTGGCCCCATAGGGAGCTCCACCGAAGGCCGCAGTGCCGCCGCCCGCATGCGTCAGCCACATCCAATTCGGCACACCCCTCACACGCTTGCGTGCCCCATAGGGCAGGGGTTTCCACCGAAGTCCCCAGTGCTGCCGCCCGCATGCTTCAGCCACAACCCAATTCGGCACACCCCTCACACGTTTCGTGGCCCCATAGGGAGCTCTACCGAAGGCCCCAGTGCTGCCGCCCGCATGCGTCAGCCACACCCAAGTCGGCACACCCCTCACACGCTTTCGCGGCCCCATAGGGAGCTCCACCAAAGGCCCCAGTGCTGCCGCCCGCATGCGTCAGCCACACCCAGTTCGGCACACCCCTCACACGTTTCGTGGCCCCAGAAGGAGCTCCACCCAAGGCCCCAGTGCCGCCGCCCGCATGCGTCAGCCACACCCAATTCGACACACCCATCACACGTTTCGTGGCCCATAAAGGGGGCTCCACCGAGGCCCGTGCCGCCGCCCGCATGCTCAGCCACCACCATTCGGCACACTTCATCACACTTTCGTGGCCACATAGGGAGCTCCACCGAAAGCACCAGTTGCCGCGACCCGCATGCGTCAGCCCACACCAGTTCGGCACACCCCTCACACGTTTCGTGGCCCCATAGGGAACCCCACCGAAGGCCCCAGTGCTGCCGCCCGCATGCGTCCCGCACACCCAATTCGGCACACGCCTCACACGTTTCGTGGCCCCATAGGGAGCCCCACCGAAGGCCCCAGTGCTGCCGAACGCATGCGTCCCGCACACCCAATTCGGCACACACCCCTCACACGTTTCGTGGCCCCATGGGGAGCCCCACCGAAGGCCCCAGTGCTGCCGCCCGCATGCGTCCAGCACACCCCAGCTTCGGCACACACCCCTCACACTGTTTTCGTGGCCCCGTAGGGAGCTCCACCGAAAGCACCAGTGCCGCCGCCCGCATGCGTCAGCCACACCCAATTCGACACACCCCTCACACGTTTCGTGGCCCCATAAAGGGG